AGAACACTTGGCTCAGAGGAGGCACAAACAAAGCTTCCACAGCCCAAATCCAAGAGGCCTCTGCTCTGGAGAATGCACAGGCAGAGGCGAGCACACCGGGACTAGACCCCAGAATAATGAGACAAGCCCCAAAGGAAACACCCAGAATGACTTCAAACATACGGATGCTCAACCTGAAGCAGCTCCAGTGGAGCCGTCTAAGACTCATGACATCTTGGAGCTGCTGTCCATAAAGGGAAGAGGCTGCTGGGCCATGAACCCACGACTCTATACCACCGGTCAGGTTAAAAATAGAAACACTGACCTGGATACAGAGAAAGCTTTTGAATAGCCGAATTTTTCTATTTCTGAGTAGAAACGGAAACGTTTTGGCTTTAACTTAAAGATCAAACTGGGTGTCTGAGGTCTGAACTGCTCTCCCACAGCCAGGATTAAAACATAAGCAAAGCCATCTCCTCCAGAGGGGATGTCCCCTCATCCCAACCACGATTAGAGAGCCGCTGGTTCAGGCTAAAGGAGAATCCACTGATTTAACGTGTACGACAGTCATCCAAATATAAGCCTGACTAAATGACTGTGCTTTCTTTAAAACATTCTCAAATCTCAAACCAAAAACTCTGGACACAGTCAGAAAATGTGCCAATATGTCTGACGCTCACTTTCACTTTTTATGGGACTTTCCCAATATAGTCCGGTTCAGGGCAGACGTTGGGACAGAGGTCAGATCAATAATCAACCCAAAGATTTTCATTTTCACTTTCTATAATGAATAATGAAGCCCCAGCAGGGTGGAGAGACACAAACTGAGAGACTAGAACAGATCCCGACATTCTGCATGTCAACATGTGTTTACCTCTCACTCCTTAAGATCAGAATCACATTTACTTTATTAATCCGTTGTGGGAATCTTTTTTTTTTTTGCAGTGCACCCATTAACAGAGGAAAAAAATACAAATAAAATAAATAAACTTTACAATCAACAGTATTTAAAAAGCTGCTCAGTCTCTGAATGACTATTGCTGCACATGATCGGGTTATTCCACGTAGTGAGGTATGGAATAAGTAAATAAAAAGAATAAGAAACATGGATTCCTTGTTACTCCTTTATCTTTTCTAAAATATTCCTAATGTTCTTTTGAAGGTTCCACCTGGAGGGAGAGCTCCACCCTTTACCTGCTAGAGGAATAACGGCACACGGAGCAAAGCTCTTTTAATTGAATTCCTGCTGCCTTCCACATGGGAATCCTTCCACCAGCAAATCCGGAGAAATGCATCCGGAGAAACTGTGATGTGGGAGGCAGAGGCTGGGTCCAGGGGCTCCACCACCCTGCCTCTGTCCCTCTAACGGCACAGATGTGCACATTAGCCATCTTCCTGCCTCCACCCTCATCCTCTCTCTCATCCCCACCCCCCACTCCTCTCCTCACACAC